GCTATCTTTGCGAGTGGAATCTGAAGGGATCCTGGGCCTAGACTTGATTATATTTGGACTCAAGCCATAGCCATGATTGACTGGCTTGGGCCATGTGACAGATAAAGGCGTGGTAGTGGTGAGTCGATCCATGATTTGGGAGTGCAGCTCTTCCAGTTCCAACATGAAGGTGGCCCACAGCTTCTTATGCCTTTCTCCAATGTCAAACAATTCATTCTGTTGAATCTCGTCGACAGAGAATGGCTGGAAAAGAGAATTGATATACTCATTGTAGCAAAGGGAGCACTGCATAATTTACGCAATCATTAAATTATGATGACTACTTTTTGATGATTTTTTCACCAAAATCGACTGCTTGGGTAAGGTGTTGTTCGGTTCAAAAAGTAAGATTCCGTTTGATGAATGATGGAAAATTATTTGCAGGCTTTAGACAAATTTTGAAAATTACTAGGGTATAAATTCGTCATTGTTGAGCTTACTTCCATTTGGAGTGAAAGTGTTAAGTACAAAGATTCGAAGGTCGGTTCACCAGAAGACGACGGCGAATTCCTCTTGACTAGCTGTCGAATGACTTTGCTGGAAGATTCATGCAGACGCCGTTTCCGAGCGACGGCGGATTCCTCTTGACCAGCTGTCGATTGGCTTTACTGGAAGATTCATGCTGACGCTGTTTCTGAGGTAATCTCCTTCGATTCCGGTGAACACGTGCTGAGCTTTCGTGCGTCATATGACGGACATCATCAGAGCGAGGTAACATCGTTCCGGTGAACACGTGCTGAGCTTTCGTCCGTCATATGACGGACATCATCAGAGCGAGGTAACATCGTCAGTCCGGTGAAAAGGTGCTAAGCTTTCGTCCGTCATATGACGAACATCATCAGAGCAAGGTATCATCGTCACTACAAAATTCAAGCTAACGAGTCAAGAAGACTCACCGGCAAATCCCTAAAAAGTGATATATATACTCTGGTTAGTTACGTTCATATGTCAATTTCGATGTCTGTGAGTGTATCTGTCTCTGTATGTGTACGTGCCTGTACCTGTTCGCTTATGCACGAAACCCGCAGTGATGGCTCAAAGTAATTAGGACAACAAAAAGGACATTAAGGTTTGATGAACCCTATCTCCCCCTTTCTACAAACATGTTATAACTATCACTCCGGTTGCGCAAGGTCGAACATTCGTCTGGCTTAGTTGATGTGCCTTCGTTTTTTGTTTTTTTTGCCTAAATGCAAGAGAAAAAGAGTGAGCTAAAAGTACAGAGAAGTGACTATGCCAAAACCAAGACAAGAAAAGACTAGTTGGTCGCCTCCTTTTTGTAGGCGGCTCAACTCCCTCTCTATCGTTCAGTCTATTCTTAGGGGGACCTTCATTTCGGATGAAAGTGCGTTAATAAGAGATTCGTTGGTCGATCTGACCAGATGAGGACGGACGAATCTCGTTGTACTACAGCCGTTTGGCTTTTATACAATATTCATGTAGACGCAGTCCACGAGACTTCTTCCCC